CTTCTCTTCTCCAGGGGAACCTCCCCAGCTCTCCCAGCCTGGCTCCATCTTTGTGACCTGCTCTGCAATCCCTCCAACAATTCCATGTCTTTCCTGTGCTGTGTTGAAAACTAACAATTTTTCTTCAAAAAAATATTTCCCATTTAAAAAAAAAAAAAAACAACAAACATTTCCTATCCTTACATTGATTTAAAGGATTGATTTTCCCAGAGGATTGATTTGATATGTTCTTACATCAACTCAAACTTCAATTCCGTGCATTGATTTAAACAGAAATGTGTTATTTTAGATTTATTTAGTTCAAATGGGAATATCCAAGCAGGTGTGTTGAAATGCTTTGCAAAAGGATAACTAAGTATTTAGATGGAATCTCTGGCCAAGTCGTTTCCATGTCTGGAATTCCTTGGGAATTTACTCTTCCCTTTGGGCTTGTCCCTGCCTGAGCAAAAGGTTGTGTGTCTCTGCCCCTTGTTGTGGTTTTGTGTCTCGAGAGCCTCGTGCCAGTGGTCAATCCCAAGAAATGCCATTGGGAATGCTGATTTCCAGCATGGAAATCACAGATTTGAACTCTCCTGAGTTCTCTGTATCCAGGACCTGCAGTGTCTGAAACGCTAAAGAGCAAAGTCCTCAGCTTGGATTTTGGAATCCTTAACAATTTCAGAGGAGTGTGTTTTGGAGAACGATTCCGCGGGAAATCTTGGAACATTTGGAACTTTGGGTTGGATTAGGTTTTGTCTCAGGGCCCTGAAATTAGGGAGCAAAGGAACAGAGCAGAGGAGGCATCAACATTCCGAGGACGTCGGAGACAAGCGGCGAGTTTTATTTGCACATCTCCCATTATTTGTGTCCTCGTGGCTTTGATTCCAAGGATTTGCCTTCAGCTCCTCCTGGATTGCTGATTTGGCAGCAGGGACTTCGGGCCTGGGGTGTTTTCACTGCTCCACAACCATCAGCACCCTGGGAATTACGGAAGCTCCGCAGGCGTCCGGCGGAATTATTTGGGAGCCCTTAATTTATTCCCTCATTAATTTTACCGGGGAAAAAAACCCCTAAATATCCTGCAGTGAGGTTTGTCCCTCCTGTTTGCCCCAGAGAAGCGTGGGAGCAACCTCCAGGTAGCAACTCATCGTGGTGGTTTGAGCCACCACAAAAATCCCAAATCCAATTTCCACCCGAAGGGGTGGGGGAAGCCTGGAAACTTTTGGTGCCGTGACTCGGATTTTTGGATTGACTGCGAGTAGAACCATGAGACTTGTTGAGATAAAGAAGTTTTCAGACATAACAGACTGTGCCATTGTTGAGAGGGTAGAGCTTTAGCTATAATTTAAGTGCTTAATACAGAGTTAAGTTTGTGATAATGTTGTGCTAAGGTATAGCAGAAGGATTCATATTTCATTTTAGGTTATATGTTAATTGCAGAATATTGAAATTGTCGTGATATCTGATTTTTCACGGTAGGGAAATGGTGGGGGAAGCCCGGAAATTGGATTTTGGATTTTTGTGGTGGCTCAAACTACCACACTCATCCACCTCCATCCCCAGGAAGAGTGTGGGAATTGTCACCTCTCCCCTTTTTCCCAACTTTGCTGTTGCAGCCACAACCCCCTCTGTCCACGTTGAGCACCAGAAATTCTTGTTAACGTTGATGGGAGACCATCAAATTGTAATTTTCGGAGCCCAAGGCAGGTGATTGTGGGGTAATTTTGCAAAAAGAATGAATTATTCCCACCTCCCAGATGCCGTGTTTATTTTGGGAGAAGATGGTCTGGCTGGAGTAATTTCCAAAGCAAACAGGCCCGAAAAAATTACACAAATTCACACTTTCTCCTGAGGAATTTGGTTGCAACCATCAAGGGCGAGATTAGATGTGAACAGTGATTACTGCAACAGCTCATTCGAGGCAGGGACTGATGTGTTGATGACTCTGAGGCAAAACTGTTCTCATTTAATAAGATTTTGCCTCGTACAAACTTCACCTGGTGTAACTCCGTAGGAATTATAGAAACTGTAAACCCAGAGGAATCCAAGATAAATCCAAACTAATGAAAATCAGAGCCTGAAGTTGATATTGTTTTGGTGCAGAGCTGTCCTATCCTGTCCATCCAATTTTAATTTAGAGCTGGAGGCTTGTCCTGGAGAGACAGGAGTGTGTGAGAGGTGCAAACTGCACCCTATTTATTGGGATTATTGTGGCTACAAGTGGGTTTAAATTCAGCCCCAAAGTGTGGGATCTAATGGAAAATTGCTGGCAATTTGGCTGTTCTGCATTTCATGGAATCCCAGGATGGTTTGGGTGGGAAGGGACCTCAAAGCCCATCCAGTGCCACCCCCTGCCATGGGCAAGGATACCTTCCACTGGCCCAGGTTGCTCCAACCTGGCCTTGGACACTTCCAGGGATCCAGGGGCAGCCACAGCTTCTCTGGGCAACCTGGGCCAGAGGAATATTTTTCCCAACTTCCCTAATTCCCTTAACACTGTATTGTCTGAATGACAGGAAACAAAGCAAGTTTATCAGAACAAACTACATCTTAATGCAGGGATTAAAAATGATTTCAACCCTTTTTGAATTAGTTTCTCACATTCCCCAGACAAAACAGCAGCTTCAGCTGGGATTTCAATGAGCTTTGTCAGGCAGCTGAAAAATCACGTATTGAAACCCTCATCTTTCGTGGTAAAAGTTCCTGTGCTGGGTTATTTTATGTTGGAAGCTGCCAGAAATCAGCCTCAAGTAATGTATTAAGCATCCCCTGCACTAAAGAGCCTGAACTGGCTGCTGAATTATAAACTAATATAATTCCCAAACGAGTCTGTGACACCAAATCGAGATCAAAACTTTGATTTGCTTTTGCTTATTCATATCAGAACGAGTCTTATGAGAAGCCCAGAATTCCAGTGGTTTTCTGGGTAAATATCCTGCCTTTTCTCCAACAGTTTGGAACAATGAACGCTCCTGAAAGGATCCATTCATGTTATTATTAGCTCAGAGCACTCAGATGTGCCATTCAGCCTGAGCTGGGTCTAAAATTACCTTCCCCGGCCCAGAAGATGAGACAGTGACTCACGGGGAGACTGGGGGTGGATTTTGGTGTCATCTGTCAATAATTCCTGTCTGACACCCAGCAGAGTTATGGAATAACATAACTTGGAATAACAGATCCATGGGTTTCTACAGGAGGATGAACTTGTCGCTGCCAAGAGGCACCTCCTGCTCCAAGCATTTCCAGGCTGAGAATCCTGGAATGGTTTGGGTGGGAAGGGACATTAAAGCCCATCCAGTGCCACCCCCTGCCATAGGCAAGGACACCTTCCACTGTTCCAGGTTGCTCCAACCTGGCCTTGGACACTTCCAGGGGTCCAGGGGCAGCCAGGTGTTTGAAAAGGACCTGGAGGGGCTGGAGCGTGTGCAGGGAAGGGAATGGAGCTGGCAAGGAGCTGGAGCAGCAGGAGCAGCTGAGGGAGCTGGGGGGGCTCAGCCTGGAGAAAAGGAGGCTCAGGGGAGACCTTCTGGCTCTGCAACCCCCTGACAGGAGGGGGGAGCTGGGGGGGGGTCAGGCTCTGCTGCCAGGGAACAAGGGACAGGAGGAGAGGGAACGGCCTCCAGCTGGGCCAGGGGAGGCTCAGGTGGGACAAGAGGAGGAATTTGTCCCTGGAAAGGGTGGTGAGGCCTTGTCAGGGGCTGCCCAGGGAGGTTTGGAGTGCCCAGCCCTGGAGGTGTCCCAGGAAGGCCTGGCCGTGGCACTCAGTGCTCTGGGCTGGGGGACAAGGTGGGCATCGGGCACAGGGGGCACTCCACGACCTTGGAGGGCTTTTCCAGCCTCAGGGATTCCATTCCATGATTCCATGATGGGCAAACGCCCCTGCAGGAACCCTTGGGTCAGAAGTAGCTCTGAGTTCTGCTCTGGGTTTTCTCCTGACCTTGCCTCCTGTATTCTCACCATGGTGAAGGTCTCCTGGGAAAAAGAACAAGCTCTTCCATGGATTCAGTTCCATATTTCAAGTGAGGGTTTGGGGAAAATCAGAGAAACAGAGAACTGGGTTTGGTTTCTACCTGACAGGAGGTTGTGGCAAGGTGGGGTCAACCTCTGCTCCCAGGGAACAAGGGACAGGAGGAGAGGGAATGTCCTCCAGCTGGGCCAGGGGAAGTTTAAAATGGATATTAGGAAAAAGTTCTCCACAGAAAGGGCTGTCCAGCCCTGGCACAGCTGCCCATGGCAGGTGTGGAGCCCTCATCCCTGGAAGTGTTCAAAACCTGTGGGGATGTGGCACATCAGTGGTGGCCTTGGCAGTGCTGAGGGAGAGCAGTCGCACTCCATGATCTCGGAGGTTTTCCCAACCTTAACGATTCCAAGATCCTAAAAGATCCTAAAAGAAAGCATCTCTTTTCTTTTCACCTGGGATCACATCATCTCCACCTCCCCTGGTCCTCTTGGTCTCCTCTGCCCCCTCCCTGGTGCAGTTCAGTGTCTGGGGGCAGGCAGAACTCTCCACAGGTCCCAGCTTTGTAAGAACCAGGTTCAACACCCTCCAATCCACATCTTTCCCAACAAATTCATCCTCATTTCATCCCAGTTTGACAAATCCCTTTTCCCCAGCTGGTCTTGCTGATGTTTGCTTTGTGTCCAGATTGCTCCTCCACCACCCTGAGGGGCCTTTCTGGTCAGCTCCTCATTAGCCACTCGTTGCTGAGGCACTAATTAGGCCATGGCTGCTGCAGCAGGGCTTGTCTGGGGTGTCAGCAGAGCTCAGCTCGGGGAGGGGTTGAAGA